ATGTTGTCTTAATGAATGTATTTCATATTTCACATCCATATTTAGCGTGTGCTGCATAAACATATCCTGTATATTTTAGGTCATAAAGTTATGTTTGTTACATCTTTGTTCCTTTGGGTTAACTGAAGGTGTAAATAGATTCATGTATGTGTTCGGGTTTTTTTGTTTGTTTGGTGGGAACACATTTCCAAATAAAAATAAATAACTGTAAGCAGATGTATTGGGAATTAGGAATATTTCTTTCATTATGAGATATAACCTCTTTGTATTTGTAATATCACAAACAAAATGCAATGTAAGGAAACATCATCTTGTATAAATATGTGCAAGATTGTGAATGAATGGCTTTATATGTACAAATAAATAAAGTGTCCCATAGTCTGCAGTTTTGTTCCTTTATTTATTGTGAACATTAAAATAACATAATTGATTGTACTTTGAATATGCAAAAAATAAGAAAAGTTTTTTTTTTTATCAGTTTGAGAGCTGCTGAAATGGCTGAAGAGTTTATTTTGAACACATTCGTAGTTTGTGCAAACAAAACATACAGATAGGAAAAAAAATACATATTTTTTCTGTTGAACAAAATTCAGCACAAATCTTAATCAAAATCAGTACATTTGAAGCTTTTTTAGATCTCAAAATCTGCTTGAAATATTTTTTAAAATGGACACTTCAGTACTTTTACATAAGCATATTTCCAAAATCCAAAATGTAAATATGTACGTATGTATTCTCTCCCCTCTGTCAACCAGCCACACCTCTGCTCTGTCCCTCCTCCCTGGCTACAAGTAGTCCACCTCTTTTCAGCTCTTTCTTTGCTACTATCACTATCCAGAGTAATATTTTACTAAGCATTGTAAGTAGTGTGATTAAAGCTGTGTGGAACAAGTACTCAGTTTTGTTACCTAAGTAAAAATACAGATACCAGAGCAAAAAAATACTCAAGTAAAAGTATCACCTGAAAAAATATACTTTAAGTAAAAGTTTTGATGTATCCATTAAAAAATATATTTCAAGCTGATTTCGAGATCTAAAAAAGCCTAAATGTGTTGATTCTGATAGATTTGTTCTGAATTGTGTTCAATAATATTTTTTTTTTATTCCTAGCTGTTTTTATCTGTATGTTTTATTTGTTTGCTCAAACTATGATCGTGTTCAAAATAAACCCCTCAGCCATTTCAGCAGCTCTCAAACAATGATAAAAAAAATACTTTTACTTTTCAGTCCGTTTCAAAAATGCAGAGTAGTAGAAAGTGCAGATATATGCTCTCAAATGTAGTGAAGTAAAATTAAAAAGTGAGTAAAAGTAATTTAAAATGCACTTTAGTAAAGTACAGATACCTAGTCTCTGTACCCTATTTATAAGTACAGTACAGTTAGCTCCTCCATTCAGGCAGATATATGCCAGTGTCCACCAGCAATCTGACCAGAACTGAAGACACAGCTTGGATGAGCTGCGAAACGTATTCGATCAAAAAACTTTTGTCCAGTTGACAGAATTAAATTTCTCCTTTGCTATAAGTACATTACTTTACTACTTTTACTACGTTCCACCACTGGATTAAAGGGATACAAAAGAGGACAAAATACAAAGGGCATAGAAGATAATAATGATTGGTTTTATCAGTGCAAAGCATACAAAAGTTATGTTTAATTACATAAAGATTAATGATTAATTAAAGAGTCACAAGATAAATTCGTTTTATTACCTAACTGCAATAGCCATAATGTACTGTGCGCTGCAGACTGTAAAAATGAGCCAGGGAAGCCAGTGCAATTAAATGGGTTCGCTAAAAAGAAGAGATTCCCTTATTTACTTTTGCTTAGCTTCATTCTAACAGAATATCCCCACCTAATGTTGAAAATCAGTCATTACACCTTAATTGCTGCAGAACAACAGGCCCTCATGAGAGCACCGACCTTTGCCTCACCTTTCACCCTCCTCCGTGTACACATAAACACTTGCAGGTACTTTGACCATTGTCCAATCATTAACTCCTGACACAGTATTGTAGTGTGTAGTAGTAGAGGGAACAGGAGGAAGGACCACAGCGAAGGACATAATAAGGAAGGACATTACACAGCAGTTTGAAGAGAACAGAGGAAGTGAAAGCTCAGATAGTTTGGGCCAATGGAGGATATACAGGTGGAGACAACCATACTACTTAATGATGGCTCAAAAATGCCACTTCTAGGCCTGGGGACATGGAAGGTAATATAACATAAAACTGTTTGATCCTATATGGTGACTGCCTATTAATCAGAGCATTGGTTATGGGAAAATACCTTCCGTTACAGGCGCAATTTCTTCACTGCTATTCACATTTATAGCTTTATATGTTACTAAGGTTATCAAAGGTAAATGGTAATGTGTTTGTCTTTGCTCGTTGGGCATGTCTCGCCAGCTTTTAGCCTTGTTATTATATTTTGGTGTTTGATGTCTTTTGATTGATTCATATAGGCTATGTTTGAATAATCCTAATAATCTTGTCCTGCTTGAGTGATTCAGTTTTGCAGTTCACAGAGAACAAAGTGTAAAATATAAATTACTGGAAAAAATAAAAAACATAATATATCTACTTTATCATGTTATTCAGTGATCAATTATAATGTTGTTTCCTCATCACAAACATACCTGGAGCTGTGTTTTGTTTCATCCACATTCACATGTTTAACACACAAACCCTGCATATTTAGGCTGAGTTTTTCTCTCAAACAGAAAACACTTCCACCTTGTGATGTCACGTGGTTATACAGGAAGTGCTCCATTGTATTTTTAAACTCCATACACCTTCACTAGAATCATTTGGATGATTTCAGCCCTGGAACTGACGATCTCTATTGTAGTAAAGGTAAAACATAATTGTTAACTTGAAAACAACAGCTGATGACATCACAAGGTGGAATAGAGCATTTTGAATTTTAGAGATGAGGACAGACTAATAATAAAGGATTATTCAAACGTGTGAATGAAACAAAAAACAACTTCAGGTATGTTTTTGAGGAAGGAGCATTATAACATGACTAAAAGCTCACAAGTCAGTTTTTGCGTAATATAGGACCTTTCAAATAATTAAATACCAGCAATTATCAAGAAATAGGTTGCATCAAGCTTTACATTTGAGATGAGTTGTTATTTCTTTGTGAAGTTCCTCAATGCCATGGTTATTTTCCTTGAGTAAAAAGGTGGCCCATTAAAACAAGTATGTATGACTGACATGATTATGTTTTGCAGTCGAATCACAATTCAACGACCTCAATGCAGGGAGCAGTGGAGGCGGCCATCGCAGCAGGATACCGTCATATTGACACAGCGTACTGCTATGAGAATGAAGTGGCCATTGGCAAAGCTCTGCAAGCCAAAATGCAACAGGGGATTATCCGACGTCAGGACATGTTCATAGTCAGCAAGGTGAGACATCGATCTCAAATAATGGTTGACTGTGAGCACAGAGTATATTTCTACTAAATATTTTCCCTTTACTTTTAGTTGTGGTGCACATATTATGCCCCAGAAGATATTTCTGTGTGTCTCGACAAGTCACTGTCAGATCTACAGCTCGATTACCTGGACCTTTACTTAGTGCATTTTCCTGTTGGTTTAAAGGTTTGTGAAAAATGCTAGAAAAAGTAAAAGGTATAAAATATAATGTCTCATTTTAACTGGAGCTTTTATATTTTTATTTTTCAGAAAGTGGGAGATTCACTTTTCCCAAAGAACAAGGAGGGACAAATCTTAACTTCTGATATAGATTATGTGGATGTATGGAGGGTAAGATAACATTCAGCATTGAATAATTTTGTTTAGTTCCTATTTTAAACATCAGTTGACCTATGTAAAAGACCAAAGCATACAACTCGAAATGAATCTTGATCTCAGTCAAAATTATATTAAACGTGCACTGCGCAACTTTTCTGGTGGAGGCTCTGCTACCTGCTTGTCTCCATGGAGATGTTATTGCTTTGCTTAGAATGTTCCACGGTATGACACTAAACAATTCTGTCAGCATTTATTTATTACAGGGGCTTCTATTACTCCAAAATAAAATAATCCATTCTGTGAATGGGGGCGACTCTTCACAAATCTGACTTATAGCAATGTAGAAGTGTAATATATACAATAAAATATAATATAGCATAGTTCTGTACCCCGCTTGACTCCCTCATGATAGATAGGTTTGATCTATACTGCAGAACATTCTAGACATGCCATTTCCATGGAAATAGGCATGTGGCAGATCCTCCACGAGCAATGTTACACAGTACACATTTAATTTTGGACGACAATTGGACTGACACACTGTGTTTGTTTGTGTTTGTGTTTGCTCGGAGATGCTGCAAATGAATTGCCTTATGGGATCAATAAAGTTTTCTGAATCTGAATCAAAATGTTACTTGCCAACTGCCTCACCACACATTATTTCCTTGATTCTTGAAGGGGATGGAGGCACTACAGGCCTCTGGGAAAGTGAAAAGTATTGGTGTGTCCAACTTCAGCATCCTGCAACTGGAGAGACTGTTGGCTCTGTGTAGGGTCACACCTGCTGTCAACCAGGTACTCACAACATAGATGAGATGAGAAGTAATGTATGTGGTCACTGATACTGTAGGTGCAGTAAATAATGTTAATTAATTATGTGGGTGGCATATTTAAAAATTATTTTGCTATAGTACATGTGTTAACATTGTCTAACATTTCAGTTAATAAATAAGGTTAGATTCAAATTAAAAAAGCGGTACTGTCATTTTACTCTAACTTGTTTCAAAATGTCGTTTCACAACAGTTTTTGTGTCATTTATGACCTTATGTTTATTGTGTGAACATTTGTGAATCTGCAGGTGGAGCTCCATCCATACCTGGTGCAGACCGAACTGATAGACTTCTGTAAATCCAAAAACATAGCTCTGACCGCCTACAGTCCTTTTGGGTCTCCAGGAAGACCTCCAGAGCTGTATGCAGAAACCACACACACTGCAAAAACAATCACACAGCATGGCAATGTTAGGGAATTTATTGAGATATTAGAGCATTTTCGATATTGTTCCAGTTTGTAATTTCACATTGACCAGGCTCAAGTTACAGGTACATTTTACTTTCTAATGGAGAGTCCACTGCCTATCCTCCATGGAGCTATAATTGTCTTATCTGGAATGTTCAACAGTATGGTATTAAACTCATCTATCTTCATATCAGGTAATGCCACCAAGCCAAGCTACATGTCAGAGAGGGGATCCCACTCACAGTGAGAATTCCTGTTTTTAAGTACTTTTTAAAAGTTTTTTTAAACAAATATCTGTAACTGAATAAATGCTAAGTAGACATGATAAATGCCTTACTGTAGAACTTTCCAGGCAAAGCTATACCATCAATCTCTATTGAGACAACCGGGTGATGGCCTCCCCACTAAAAAAGTATAGTGTACCTTTAATCAAAAATATAATTAACACAGTAAAGTATTATGAACATACTGAAACCATCATTTTAAATTCAGACATTTCTACACTGCTACATTTATTTTTAACTGCAATTTTATTATTTGAGGTTATTAAGCATTTTGTAGTAAAAGTTCTTAATAATAATAACTATTATAATAATCCTAATAATAATATTACCTTTTTCTTCCTTTTGCCAGTATAAAAGGAGAAAAAGACCCAATTAATATTCTAACTGACCCTGTTGTCGAACAGATAGCCAAGAAGCACAGACGCAGCTCTGCACAGGTGAGAACAACAAAACACTCACAGTTATAACACTGGTGGAACTTTGAATATTTTTGTCTTTTGTACTTTTTGTACTCATGTTTGTGATGTGGGCAGGTTTTGCTGAAGTACCACACTCAGCAGGGCATAGCAGTCATACCCAAAAGTGAGAAGGCCCATCATATCCTCGAGAACACAAAGGTAAACTCACACCAGTATCATTTTCAAATGGCATTGTGTGTGCAACATGCAGTCTTATTGTTTTGGGTTTTTTTTTTTTTTTTGTTTTTTTTTGTTTCCAATTCCAACACCTGACTGTGATTTATTTTATTTTTTTGTTTTATTTTGTTTTGTTTTCCAATATTTTGTTATTATCATTTTATCTTTTAACTTTAGCAACTCACATTGCTTCACGAAGAGGGTATTTGATATCACAATCACAATTAATCAAAATATCATCCTGTTTTTTTTTTTTTTTGGTTTTTTTTGTATGCAGATCTTTGATTTTAGGCTAACAGAGGAAGATATGGCAGCTCTTAGAGGCCTTGACCGTGGATGGAGAGCTTGTGACCTGCCTGAGTAAGTGAGCACATGATGTCAAGTTTAATGCTACACTAATATTTCTAATGATTGTTTCTATTACTTTTTTGTTACAGAGTCAAATCTCATCCCTATTACCCATTTGTGTGAGGGATTTGTTCATACTAACTCCCAACACAAAATGATGCATAAATACTAATAAAAAAAACAAATGTCAAAAAATTTTCAAAAATTACATTATTCACAAGTTTATAATAATATAAACATGCCATTATTCAGCTTGTAATATGCATTGTATTCTTTTTTTTCCTCTTAGAAGCTTTTGGCTTAATATGCCATAATTATGACACAAACAGACACATCAAAAACATTTTGGATTCAGCGCTTCTTTCAGAGATTTATGCCACAATCCTAAACATATTTTCGTAGTTAAACAAACCAGTAGTTGATTTCATTTTATAGACGTGTTTGTTTGTTTTCAACTGTCAAGAAGTCCAGGTTCTCACGACTGTTACGTGGGTTCTAATGACTGAAGTTTTTTCTTCCTGTCCTGTAAGTCGAATATGCATAAGGGCCTCACGGTGCATACGCAGGCAGAGGCCCCTGCAATGCGTTTGGGCAGATCGGGCCCCCGAGACCAACCTCCTCTATCAGGGTCATAGACCTGAGTTGCTTTGGAGAAAACCATGCCCTCCCAGCTGTAGCCTCCTAAAACATAAATCTTTCCTGTCCAAACTGCCACTCCAGCCTCACTGTTGGGCAGCAGCAGTGGAGCCACATAGCTCCACTGTCCCACATGAGGATCATACGCCTCCACCTGTAGGACATCAAAGCGCTCTGTTGTGGCTGCATGGTCATCGCTGCCCCCAATGGCATAGATGAGGTGGTGCAGAGAGGCCATGCAGTGCCAGCCTCGCGCCTGGGACATGGAAGGCCGCTCCAGCCACACCGAACCCTCTCGAGATGGTTCATAGCTCAAGACCTCTTTGCGATATGGCCCAATCTGATAATCATGCCCACCTGAGATGTACACAACACCTCTGTGCACTGTCCCTGCATGGCCATAGGTGTACCTACAAAAAAAAGCACAATTATTTCACAAACCATAAGAAAGCCTGCAACTGCAGCCAGGTAATCACGTTTTTTAATATAAAATATCAGAATAATGATTCAAATTGTGAAACAGTGTACCTGGGCAGTCCAGCTACATAGCACCAGCTGTCTTCAGCAGGATAGTAAACTTCTACAGAGGACAGCGCCCCAGTGTCATTTCTGCCCCCCACAGCGATCAGACAGTCACCCACTGCCCCCAGAAAGAAGTCCACTCTCCTCTGGTTCATGGATGCGCCCTGAGAGTGCCAGAGCAGACATTGCATACATTGTAGAGATAAAATAACAATTATAAACTAGGATACCTTAGTCCATTGATTATGGCGGGGGTCATATCTATAGAGAAGGTTACAAGCAGCATCTCCACCATTGTCCCTGGATGAACTGCCACCAGCAGCAAAGATGAACCCTCCTAACACAGCCAAGCAGTGATGGCTGCGCCGGGCTGGAAGTTCAGTCTCTACCTTCCAAACTCCTGTGGGAACATCCAGACGGCACACATTGGAGCTCAGCTCCTCTCCTCGTTCAGACACCTTTAAAAAGAACACATAGACCAGATACAGTCAATGCTTGTCTGAGAGTGTATCTGCTAACAACTCAAAGAGAGGAAATTAAAAAGCCAAGTACTTAAGAATGACACCAGTAATGCGATAATATCTGTGACCAGTGTAAGTACATTCAGGTACAACGCAGTTTATAAATTATAGTCACCTCTCCTCCAATTAGAAGCAGACTTTCAACTCCATCTCTTAATGATGTGAGTCCAGTTTGAAACAGGGGCTGGGCACTGGGGGTAGCATGGTAGGCCAAGGCCTCTTCAACCAAAGCCTCACACTGGGCTTCATTTGGCAGAATTGCTCTAATGGCAGGCAGCACCCGTCCCACCAGGTCTCCCACAGGCATCAGCGCCAGGCGAATGTGGGACAGGAGCTTTGGAGCATGTGCTGTGCGCTCCGGGCTTTGACTCAACCACTGAAGAGCAGCCTGCAGCAGAGCCTGCTCACTCTCATGCTCCACCTTAAGAAAAACATGACATGCATTGAAAATGTATTTTTAGACAGCAGTTAATAGCTTAGTGTTGGACAGCAAAACCAGATAAAAACAGATATACTGTAACACACTGTAATACATTACTGACCTGGCTGCTGGAAAGATATTTTGTCAATTTGTGAAGAGGAATATCTCTCATGAAGTCAGGAGTAAAAGACAAAGTACCAAAGCGTGAGAGGATGAACTGGTCAATGAATGTGTCAAGTCTGTCCAGACTGTAGAGCAAAGCCAGCTCCTGGAGGTACAAATAATTGTCCTCGGTCACTTCCTGCTCCAAATACTGGCAGCAGAAATCCACCACTTGCCACACCTACACAAAAAACATACATGCTAACGGTAAACCTTCAATTTTCCCAATACCACTGAAGATCAAATGAAAACCACAATCACCTGCAATAGATGGGCTGCTTCAAGAACATAGTCAATGTTTCCTCCATCCAGTGGCAGCTCTGCACAATACAGGAAGTCTATAACAGCTCTAAGACCAATATAAGACAATCCAACCAACTCCACCTGTAGGTAGGAATACAGGGCTCACCTTTGAGACTGTTAATGACAGGACCAGACAGAACAGTTCTTTATAAACATACCTCCACCTGGTGTTCTTCTCTCATGCCCAAAGTGAACATAGCATTAAAGTACTGACTGGACAGAGCCAATACTGCTCTGTGTGCTGGTATGGACTGGTCATCTGCCACCAGCACCACATCACAGAACTGATTCTTCTGCCTTTGCTCATTCAGACCCTGGAGGACTGCCACAGATTGATGAGACCAGTGGAAAATCTGTAGAACAACAACAGCTCTGGAAAAAAGTACAAAAAAGAAGAGTACAGAAATAAAAATAACAAACAGCAACTGACCTTGGAAGATTCACTGATGCGGTGGGGCCGACACACACGGTTCACTTTGCCATTGTCCATGTTGTTCTCATACTGACATTTTCTGAAAAGAGAACATTAGAAGATCTGAGAAATATTTTGCAATAATACTGAAGCTGATGCCCTAGCTACTATTATCTAAATGAATGTATATGCTGTAGTTCAGACAAATGTTTGCAATTACTTTTAAAACAATCTCTTATGCTAAAAGACTACAATAATAATGAAGAGGATGGGATACAGCATCATTGAAGTATAAGATCCTCTGTTAGCACATTAGCACAACATAACGAGCAGCATCTTTTCTGAAAATGAACAGCAATCGCAGTACCTTACAGTGTTACAGGAGGCCTGTATTTTGTGAGATTGTGCCCTTTAAGCACATTTACACCCAAGACATGAGCAGCTTACATACAGAGAACTGACAGAAAGCCTTTAATTCTGCAACCATAGCTGAAGCAGAGTAAAACGGAAGTTGACTACTGCATGAAGCGTATACTTCCTGTAAAACCATAGACTGCACACTTTTTTTTTTTTTTATCTATTTAAATGTTCACTGCGTTCGCCCAATGTTTTGATTGTCTTATGTTGACCATAAAAACTCTAAAAAAAATCGCATTATTAATACATCTTTGTGTGACTTGTTGCACTGTGAATTAACCATCAGTAGATGGAGACAGAGAGCTCTTAGACAACCATGGATCTATTAAAATAGCGGGGACAACTCCTTCAGCATCCTCAACTCGTGCATCTAGTCCATTGATTCTACCTCAGCTACGAACTAAATGCCTGTTGCAACGACTGTTAATTTTCCCAAAGCAGATGATTTCATGATGATTCACTGGTGGATTGCGTCTCGAGGCCTTTGTTTAAGCTGGATTTACCAGAATGGAGTAAATCACAATAGGCACATTGATAGTCAATTCATAAATGAACCGGAAGCTGGTTTTATTTACTACCATAAAAGCAGAAACAAATGTCAGTCTTCAAAAACTCTGTAATATTTAGTTTAGAGAATATGTAGTGTGGGTCCATATGGTGTGAGTTAGATTTAGTAATTCTCTTATATCTCCAGGATATTTTTACTTTGAAAGAATGCATGTTTTCCAAGATATTTGCTTAGGAATAAAAACGCATGTGAATTAACATTAACATTCACATAGCCTATGTTTTATATAGAACATTTTAATGCCCTACTGTGGAATATTTCTGGCAAAGTAATAACGTCTCTAACCCGCTACCAGAAAATTTACACTGTGCACCTTTGCAGGATACACATTTTTTAAATTATAAGGCTTATTATTTCCACTCGACTATTGATGATACCCCGCTTTGCACCATGGCGTCCACGCCACATATTTGACCACTGCTTTCATATCGGCCTAACCACTGTATTCCCTTGTTTAGGGGACTTTATTTTGAAATCCACTTCCGATGAAGTCTCTAATTGGCAATGATAACTTTACGCAATGGTTCAGCAGAGCAGCGACGATAGGAGGTACAGCAGTGTGTCTGTGGGACTTCTGTCTGTGCTGCCAACCTACCCGCCTCACATCACTACATCACCACCGCCCACCGCAGCACAAGTCAGGAAACCAGTCCCCCTCTGCGCCCTGAGCCCGGCTGAGATTTAAGAGCTCCACCGTCTCTCTCATCAGCGCGCCCCGACTGTATGTGGAGCTGTCCAAGTTAGCTGCTTTTTACTGCGTTACGCTCACTGCGACTGTCCATCCGAAAAAATGGCAACCCAGATTGACAAAGAAGCTTGCAGAGAAGCTTACAATGATGTGCGGGACGACAATACAGAAACCAATTGGTAAGTAAGCCTTTTGGAAAAGAATACTCGCATTTCATTGTCCCGTGCACATTAGGAACGCCACGCGTAAAACACTACAAAGGATCACTTGTTGTACTTAATTCCCCTTAAACCAACATTTTGTGGGGAAGTTCATTTTAGGGGCGCGTTACCGCCCTGGACACTGCTGCCTTTTGTGCGCACACCTTGCATAAAATTTCTTTAATTTTAATCCAAAAGTTAAATTTCACCGAATGTCGAGTTGGAGAAAAAATTTCTTTGTATAACAGTTGCAATAATGTCAAATGGACTGTTTTATCAACGGGATTCAATGAGATTTTGGCCCCAGACCAATTCAACGTGCGTATTTAGTAATTGCCAGAGGGATGGGTGTGCGCAGTGAGGGGCTCTTACTCCAAGTGTAGCCTAACACCCTCTGGTTTAAAATGAAGCTTAATTCATTCTCTGCTGCTCTAGACCCAGCGGGGCAGAAATAATTTCCTTTGTCCTGTATTCATTCACAGAGCGCTGGATAGGCACCGTAGACTGTACAGTTTTCCAACAGCTGGACTACTTTCTGTTTTGTATTTCACGAGCATCTTGTGTCTTGTTATTTTGCTGTGAACCGTAATTACCATAAATGCATGTGCTGTGTTCCAGGGTTGTGTTTAAATACGATGGCTCTATGATCGTGCCTGGAGAACAAGGAGTTGACTATGAGGATTTCAAGAGACTGTGCACAGGTAGGTACTGCAGCCTTAAGGTGAAACTTCAACTCCAGCTGTTGTTTCTTATTACATAGATGCCAGCATGTGTGTGCCCAGGCCATGTGCATGGACGGGTTAAACAAGGGGTATGCTACTGAGCTTGACTTGGCAGGACCTTAATCTTTTAAGACTCTCTTACTCCCTCACCATTGCCTCTCTGTTGTTGTAATGCAATGCAATGAAGCCTGTAACTAAAACAGAGCATTGCATTGCACACCCTAGCCCCTCCCTAAACATACCCTTATTATGCACCTGACCTTATTATATTGTTCTTTTTGTTGTATTTTGATACAAAACATGTAGCTATAATATGCTTTAGAATTATGCAATGCCACTGTTAAAAATTACATGAATGACTATTATATAGTGACTATTATACAGTGGCATTTAATAATCAATGTCACTTTTTAAAAATGCTAACCAAATAGAAATGGCTTGTAAATAATTAACATTAACTATTGGGTCATGTCACCAATCTTTAAACAACCCAAAGAACAACCCCTACGTAAACTATAATTAGTGTCTGACAGTTCCCCGAAACCCAGACTGCAATTCCAATATGCACAAGACCTACATTGTTTAAGTATTTGAAAATGCAGGAGAAGCTACAGCTGACAGTGTGTGGGCTTGTCCGGAGTTCATTTGTGTTGCAGAGAAAGGCCTCCTGACATAATGACTCCCAGTGAGGATTTGTTGTACAGTTGTGGGCGTTCGGTCCTGTCCCATGGGGGCTGGTCCCTGCTCAGATGTTGGGTGTGGTGCTCTCAGATGCAGGCTCCGTCCTCAGGGCACCACTCATCTGCTCACATCTGAGCTCACATTCCTATGTTGAAATAAGCCATTTATGACAATGTTACAGTCAGCTGCAGGGCTCACTGTTGGTTCCTGTTCAGTGATGACACACTTCTGTAGGGGCTTGCTTTCCTTATTTAGCTGTTAGTTTGCAGACTAAATGAAGTGGGCGGAGCTGCAGGTCAGGTCTGAAATTAGACCTGGGAAACTCTTTTTTTCTATGACTGTGAGAAGAAATATAATAATGAGGTGGCCAAATTATTTAAATGAAAGAAACAATCTGGATTTAAAACTCAAGTGAAACTATCAAAACAAACGTACTGTAGTTGTGCTTCAAAGAGACAAATCATTTCTATCTTGCCGAAGGTTTTATACATCCAGCACATATATTTATTTTCATTGATTATGAAAGCATTATACCTTCCTAGTCTTGCTTAAAGGGACCCTGGTATACTGTGCTGTGTCATCTCTGGTGTCAGTGTTGAGTCAGCATAACTTTAAGGAAGATAAACCAAAAGAATGTGCCACATGAGGAAGTGTGCCCTTTAGCTAAACCTACATTATCTATCCTTTGTGTACTTTTAAGGCAAATTATGGACTCTGGACCAGCCTGAATAAGTAGGCCTGCCATAATAATAAATTTTGAAGTACAATATATTGTTGAAGAAAATATAGATGACTGATAATACCAAAACTAATCACTCTAAAGTATAATTAGCCCCCCCCACCCCCCCAAAAAACCTAAAGACACAAACTACAATATATAAAAAGCAGAATGAAACACTTTAGCACTTATTTTGTATCTATGATGAGTCATCATTTACATCTCATATCTAATCTTAGAACAGAAAAGTAACCAAACCTTTCCCACGAGTGCAAAGAAAGTATACATATGATAAATAATTGTTCCACTCATCATGTATTGAAACAAGTCGATATATAATAATCGTGACAGGTCTATGAATAAGTATAAAATAGGTCACTGAAATGTTATGTCTTCCTTAAAGTGTGAAGTAAAGTTTTTTTATCTTTTAATTCTGAGTCAGTAAAAAAGTTAATTGCATGGCCCCATACAAGTATTTTATTCATACAAGACCCCACGTTCAGCTTGTCCGATAGATGTCTTTTCTAGTTCGCATACTTCAGTCATAGCACCACCAGGAATCATGAGGTGTGGCTTTTGCAGTAATGTTATTTTTATTCCTATAGTGTTGATGTTGAAAAGCCCCTGTCATTTAACTTCCCCACAAAACTTCTGCTTCTGGGCCTACAAATGTGCTTTCAAATAATACGATGGATAAAAGAAGTGTTTTTGTTTAGAACTGGCATTTTGTCTAAAAAATTGTACTTCACATCCACTGTTTTTCTAAGCACAAACTGATTGATTAACTAGTAACTAACCATGTGATATTGTGTATTATGGCACTAGTTGTTACTGAGTAGTCCAGAAGTAAATCAAGTGCCTACTGTTCTTAGTCGGTCAAATGACAGAGCACAGTTGCTGACAAGAATGCCTTTATCAGCCACTTAACAGATAATGAAGACTGTAAAGCACTTTGTAGAAATTTGGGCCACTGACCTCCAGCAAGCACTCAGATCAGTCTAAGCTGTTTAATAATTACAGCCAGGGCACTGGCAGCAGAGCCCAACTGATATTTATGGGTCCAGTACTGATATAAATGGAGTTGGAGTTTGGAGGCTCTGATAGCTCATGTATATACTGGTAATGGTAATAATTCCTTGTAAATCTGCAGCTGATTGTAAAACGTAGGTCAAGCTGTAGTTAGGTTTATTTAGGCTACATTTATTCTGTCAGTTTTAAAGACATGTTCTGGGTCAATTACATTTAGAATAGAATAGTTTATTTCTCAGGCGATCAAAAGAATGATGAAATATAAGGATGGTTACCATAGTGATTAAGAAAATATATCTTGGGTGTGAAAAAGAACTCATGAATGCACTTAAAATGTACATTTAAAATGCTAAAGTTTTACTGTAATAAAGCTGAAAGAACCCATTGCTATATAGGTAATAATAACAGTATTATAATTTGAACATGTCCCTAACTGTTTTACTCTCCTCTGTGTTGATAGATGATGCCAGGATTTTCGCATTCCTCAGAATCACAACAGGTGATGCCATGAGCAAACGGGCCAAATTCACACTCATCACCTGGATTGGCGAGTGCATCAGCGGACTGCAGCGTGCCAAAGTCAGCACAGACAAATCACTGGTCAAAGAGGTAGTCCAGGTAAGAACTGCTGTCCTCACAATAACACATGTAGTCATAACATAAGAAGAGAGGACAGGGAGGGGACAGGGAATGGCTCCTTTGGGGATAATGGAAACAGGTGTCATAGCAATAGGGTGGACAGGTCTGATGTAATGGTTATAGTAGAGTTTTCCACTGATTGCACCCTTGTTATTAGAGGTATAAATGCCAAAACAATTATATCATGGTTTTCCGGAGATCACAATTTTGATTTTATCACAATCCAAGCAGTGTTTTAGTAGCTTTAAGAAGTCAGTTAGGAGTACTAAAGGAATCTACTGCTTCTGAGAGTTCACACTTCACTTTGATTGGTTAAATCCACCTGTCACTCACATCATGAAACAGAAACAGGGTAGTCCTCGATGATGCATCCAGTGGGTTGATTACTTTACTCATATTGACACTGAGCAGTACTAACATGCACAACCAACACTGTTTACATATTTTTTAAAGTAATAATGCAATTTTGTGTCAAATATAATGTTTTGAGGAATATTAATTCTCCTGTGGGTCTACTTTCACAGACCTATGCCAAGGAGTTCTTGATTAGTGACCCGAAAGAGCTGGAGGAGGACTATATCCGCGAAGAGCTGAAGAAAGCAGGGGGCGCTAACTACGACGCTCAGGCTGAGTAGACCCCACAGCGTTGCAGGGGTCTGGGGTCCGAGGGGGAGTGAGGGGGAGTGAGGGGCTTGGGAGGGGAGTGTCAGTGCTGCTACCTCTGGGCGAGAGGGACAGGCAGGAGGGATGGTACACTCCACAAATATTAGGCACTTTACTACGAAGTAAAGATGAATGTTACCTGTTCTGTTACAAGGACACAGGTGCTTCAAAACCAGAGCTAACCCTTGTTACAGCCACATTTCACATTTTTGGATCATTTGCAAAGCAGGTACACAGAGAATCACAGAGTATGATGGACAACTTTTTTAAATTATAGGTCTGGGCACCACTGAGTATGCTGATTATTTCAAAAAATCTCTTGCCAAATTAAATAATTAGCCACTGCAGTTTTCACTCGGCAGAAACCACACATGATATAAAGGTTGACAAAGATCAGAAAAGGCCAAGATTGCAGCTGGTAGATTTTTAAGATGATTATTCTTTTCATTATACCAGCTTGCTTGAGTTTTATTCAATGTGTTACAGTGGGACATTATATAATATTGTAAAATATGTTATAATAACACACTGTAGCTTAACCAAATGAAAAACAAAGCATATTATTGATGCCAGAGTGGTTTGCAGTGTGTCCCTGCCCTGCCCCCTCTTGACCAGTTTGAGTATGCACATGGGTATGTCATCTCAAATACATCTTCGCCTCAGTGTCAGTGGAGAAACTTGAAGTTCTACTAAGGCTTAGCACTGTTAGCTTCAGTGATCTTCTGAGGATGTGGAACATGTTTCTGAGTGTTGTACTTTTTAAACATCAATGTGTGAGGTGAGCATTTGAAAAAGCTCTTCATTGTAGCATGTGTTTGACAACACAACATGCACTGAGTCAAAGACACTGTGCCTCCAGGACCATCAGACCTCCATTGATCCAGAGGGAGCTGGCGTGAATCTTGTTGTAGCTGTGAGAAATTGCATAATTTTGTACCTGTGACCTGATATCCATAGACATCCTCTCGGCAGCTGTCAGCTCATTTCACTGACAGTGCAGGTCTTATAGTCCTGGACTTTCATCTCAGTCTTAATGTATCCATGCATACTGTAATTTACTGTGTTTGCTGCCTTAGTCTCCCATGGAGAGGGGCATGATGGGAGTTCGTGGACGCTACACTGTGATTGGCTACCCTTCTTCCACACTAAAGGGGCAGCTTTCTGGTGGTAATATCTCTTTGCATTTGATCCAGACCCTGTCTCTCTACATGTACCGGAAATATGAACTTAGGACTTGTTGTAATTTTTAATAAATCTGTAAAATGACTTTTTATTTTTCCTGTCCATTTCATTTGGAAACATGGTTTCTCATCTCAATATTTGTGAAAGAGATTTTGAAATTATTTAGGAAGATACTACAAGGACTGAACTGGGCACAAAATTAGTCGTTTCAAATAAAATTGATGTTTTTCCAAAAAATTATCTCTGTCTTTTTTAAAGAATATCGCCTTACCTTTAACATAAGCAGCGAGATATCAGTTCTAGTTTTACAAAATTATGATTTAGTTAGAATAAAATTGTAGTTTAATAATCAATGCAAAATATAGAAGATTAATTATAAATCTAAAATAATTCACACAGGCATGTATTCTCTGTATACTCTTACTTCTTTTGTGTCATTGTGAAATTATCGGTTTGATTGTGCCATGATTAGGGGGGTTTACTGGAGACTTCTGCCACCCTTTGTTTTCCGTCCCAGTACAGAGTGGCCAGGCATTCCTCTGGCCTCCTCAGTACTGCAGTATTCAGCCTCCTCCAGGTCATGTGCTCTGTCCTGTTATGTGAGAGACTGAGGCAAAGCTTCAGCAAATAAAACCAGAATTGTCTCTTTCTCTCTCCCACCCAGCGTCATCAAATGTTTGCATGATGATATTCATGAAGGGGGAGTTATGTAAGACCAGATGTGCTTGAGGAATTTCTTTTAAACTAAAATTCTTCTATGATTTATCATACTTTTGGTTATAGACACTGGTTTAAATAAATATTATCAACCCATGAAAATAATACATACGAGCAAACTTTTGACAGGGTGCATAGTGACTTCATGGTTATCCTGGCTATATACATACATACATACAAACATATTTATACCTGAAAGTGGAAGTAGACCATGATTGCAAACCCTTACTATACGATTATTTGTGTGTTACACCTTTTTCAAATGTAAACAGTGGATTACAGTAACCCATTGGCTCTGGTGGAGCGAGAAGATGATTGGTTGAGAGCAAATTCGAACAGCGTCCATGTGAAAGGGGGTGAGTCAGGGGCCCGTGTGTTGGCACAGAGCTGCCATTGTGAACGACCACAACAGGCTGAGGCCGCTCCATTCTCAGCCCAATAAGCATCTGTTTATGCGCTCCACTCACTTCCACTACACTCATACAGACTCACAATGGGCTTCCAGCCAGACCAACCAGCCAACGGCTTTAAAAACATGATTATTAGACAGTAACATTGTAACATTGATAGACATTAGATTAGATCAAGATTACATTCAGGTATGTGTGTGTGAATATATATATCTATATCTATATCTATATATATATATATATATATATATATATATATATATATATATATATATATATATATATATTTTTTTTTTTTTTTTTATTATTAATTTGAACATGTTTTTTTTATTCATTTCAAATTGTGTAACATTTAGGTTACTATGTATTTAGCTGTTACTGACTAACTTCTGTAGACATAGAAAAGAAGTCCTTATCTACAACAGGAGCTACATAAGGAAGTAACAATAAGATCTTACTTCCTCATTGACAAAATGTGTCACAGTTCAAGCTGAAGAATGCAAGTCAGAAGAAAGTTATTCTTCAAATATTTTCTACCTTTGTGTTGATCTGCATGTAAAGAACAAACTATGATAAACAAAGAAATACAAGTAAAATATGAGAAGAAAACAATGTGCCATGTATTACTATGGGTCTATGCCTTCTTTATTCTGAAGTCCATGTGACTCAGTGCATTTTCAAGAAATGTAAAATTATATAATGTAATTTAGTACAAATGTTTAAAATGCATGTACTAGTATTTTAAAAGTCTTGTTATTCAGTTATGGAGGTGGAGACAAGTAATGCAGCTCCAAGAGGAATGCCTCAACAGCATTGTGACTGTCCTGTTGTGTGTGCACCAATCCAATTTCTATATTCTCTTGAAATCTCTTTAATCTCCTTCATGTTATAGTGTGTCACTGACTCACTGTTATTTTAATTAAATAACAATAACTTGACATGGATCAGTGACAATAGTAAAATTGTTACTCATTTAATAGGGCCACCTCATCCACCCATTGCACCATTTCTGCACTGAAGGATATGACACTCAAAGGTCAGTGACTATAAGACCAATGCAGAGGCAGGGGGCATTCCAAATAAGAAGGGGGTGGGGGATCATATAGTTATATAGTTATATAGTAAAGTTCTGAGCCAGTGGGTATGTATCAGATTAATTACACAACACTCACGTTTATGTTCATTTAAATATTTAACATCCATGCAGTAAAGTCTTTAGGTGCCCTACTGCAGTTACCATATAGGCACAGTAAATAATCCTCTCACAACAGCAGCTCTTTCAGCAGATGTAACACTGGATGCTGCACGATTCATCTCAGATCTCAGAAACCACTAGAAGGAAGTCTATGGCAATAGATTTGTGTTTCATTCAATTTCTTTATTTTTTGAAATCTTAGTTTAAAAGAAAAAGAAATAAAAATATGGATTGACTTTGAACATATTATGTCTGTATAATAACAAACAGCTTAATGGGCGAAACACAGATGCCAAGTGTGTCTTGTGAACTTAGATATCTGACTTCAAATTCAAATGCCCAAGAAAAGACATGCAAAATCCTTACTTGTGCCTGAAGTATCCCTAATTTTCATTTCCTCAGAATGCTCCAGTATTTGCGTAGAACAGCATGACTGTGTCCATAACAACATTTTAAAATTTTAGACCACAAAATTAGCCTTGAACATGAGCTTGCTTAAAATATGAGATGAACCTAAATAGAGGTTTGAAGGGTGTTTGTGTGGTGCATCCTTTTTTGACAAGAAAGTGCTACTCAAAAAAGACTTCCTGTGCTGTCACTCAGCACACAGCATGCCCATATATGGCTGAAGTTGAGAGGAGGGAAAGCAGAAGTAACATCACAAACTTCTCCTGTTTGAACTTGCTAAAGGTGAGTGACGTGCCTCTGATAATGATCAGCCCAAGCTCTTTTTATTGGCTAGTGCACTTGTGGAGTCAGGTCTCAGACACCAACCAAGATGTGTCTAAACCTGCTGGAGAATGATATACAAATCAAGATGGCATCCAATATTTTAAACTCTGGTTCATATCACATCAGCAGTCATTTATTTTCTATAAAATATTACAATGAAAATAATTAAAATAAACCCAGAGCTAGTTATTGTTTTTATTTATAATTTTTTCACCTAAAATTAAAAAGACACTCATAATTTGTTTCAATGATTTGATTTGCAAATGAGTAAGTAACAATGCTAAACCACATGCCATAAACCATAACATGCATTTTACAATAGATGCCTATTCCAAAAATAATCCAATACTTATCTTTCAATAACCCAATAAATTATTTTATATGTAATTCTGAAATGGGCTCAGTCAGAGACATGTGATTGAAGAATTCAAATTCAACAATTCCATTGAGTTAATAGTCTAAAATATGTGTTTCTCATTAGTCCTTAAAACAATAAAACAATCTTGACGAGTAGACCTGCTGGTTACATAACAGCATACTTCATCAATTATTTTATTTTCTTCAGTGGATCAACAATGAACAGTGATTGCTTCCATGTGCATTGTCTTCTCAGGTCTATTGACTATTTATTTGCATTGGAAGGTAAATGAACGTCACCTTTATAATGTGCAAACGAGAGAGGTTTTAGCAGAGAGTCAAATACAATGCAACACACCCAGCTCAGTCAACTCACCTAATCTATGCCCTTAAAAGGCGCTTTTCTGCAGTCTGCTGATTTTACTAAGAGCATCATCCTTTGCTCGCGTGCGCACTCTGCTGGAGGGAAATTATAAAAGACGAACATTAAAACATTTTTCTTTTAAATTAAGTTAAATTGTAACTGACTTTGTCATAATCAACAACCACGAATGACTGGACATTAAACTCTTTCTGCGTATTTAGCTAAAGTAGAATGGCACAAAAATAGTAGCGAGACTCGTGCATTAAAACATATAAATCATTCAATAGTGCCTTATATTCATATTTATATTCCAGTAAAAATACACATAAACATACAAATGTAATGGAAACTATCTTATGTCCAATCACAAAAGGAGATAATAATATATTATAACAGTTATTGACTGTCGCACTGCACTTCCTTTGAAACCCGGAAGTTTACATCGTCAGCTGGAAGATAAATGAATAAGGCTAGGAGGGTTAGTGCATGGATCTGTTAAAAGGGCTGGTGGAGAGCCACAATGGATCGATTAAACTAACTGTGAAACATTAAGGTTCGAAGATTTTCAGTGTTTATGTCAGAACTGCATTGATACATAGACCACGTAGTGCAACATCTCCGTACTCGGTTAAGATCAAAATATTTCGACACAAAATATAGTAAACCTTCATGGTGAAAACCTGTAGCCTTGAAATTAGTAAAAATGTATAGTGTACTATAGTGAACCAGTTTAAATGTTGGCTGTCCCTTATGTTCTTGTGTTGCAGTGTGACGCTTGTTAATATCAGTATGGAGACTTCAATTTAACAGTATTTTTTATAACCCTTTGCCTAAACCTGTATTCTACAGTATACTCTGACATGTTGTATTGCTCTGCATTTTCTCTACAGAACAATGGGGAACACAGGCAGTGAGTTGATGCACAAGCGGCTGGACCGCTTTCGGCCTGAGGAGCGGCCTGTGATCCAGGCTGTGTTTGACCGTCTCCTGGGCACTGGGCCCTCAGGAGCCCCCGTTAAAGCAGAGGCCAGGAGCACCTTGAGCCTGGGGATGCTGCAGGTACCATTGTCAAAACTATATAAGCATGTACAGGTGCTGCTGTCTTACAAACTCAGATGTGAAAATGAAAGTTAAAGATTTTTTTCTTTGTCTGCTCAAGTCAGCTGTAAGCGCTGTGATTCCAGACCCCATGGTTCAAAGGATCTACAGATGTCTGTGTAGTGTAGACGCTGGTCAGGTCCCTGGTGGGTCTGGAAAGTCCCACTCAGTCTCTGTCGCAGGTGTTACTCGGGACCAGCTGGTGATTTTTCTGGCTGATATTCTGAGAGGCACAGCAGAGGAACGTGCCCCTCTTGTCTTGGCCATGTCCCAGAGCCCAGGACCACAGGCAGCATCTGTCTCATGTGATCAAGTCATCCAGGTGAGGTCCTCATATTATCTTTGCTGCTGAATCTTCTCTCTATAAGTAAAAGAGTTTATCATGTTTTAACTAACCAGGAAATTCAGTTTGATGACAAAATAGTATTTGTTTTCAATCTATTATATCTGTTTGGATAATTAATTGTAATAATAAAACAAAATATAAGCATCACATGTGTTCTTAAAATATGATCTTATTTGCTATGTTTGTCCTCAGTTTCTCCAGGATTTGATTGCTGCTGTAATTCAGACCCTGGCCCACAGAGGGCGCCTCCATGGCTGGAAATCTGAGAGGATGGGGGATGCAGCTGCAAGTGTAAAACTGCTGTCAGAGCAAATGTGTTCAGAACTTAAACCCTCTGGTAATTATTATATGTTGTCTCTGGTAACACATGTTTTGTGCCTTCTCTTGTAGTAAACAATTCTTATTGGTTTCTCACAGATGAGGGCTGTGACCGCTCCTGCCTGGAGGACTGGATCTTCAGAGTGCCTAGTGTGTCCTTATATCTGGAGATGGTTGTATCTGCGGGCTTAAATGTTTCTCTGGGGGGGCGCTCTGCCCCCACTCTGCTGCCCCCCTGCATAAATACTCCCTGGAAGGACCTGCACTGTCTGCTGAACCTGCCCACTGTTATGTTCCTGGCACCACAGGTCTTGTACAAGCAGAAAGATCTTTGTTTGTATGAACCAATTACTTAGAAATAGTGTCCTCACAATAGTTAAATATTTATCTGGTTCTTGGTTTCTGTTCAGCTTCCGGATCGGTACAGCGCCCCCTGGAGGCTGGTGTTTTCAACTAACCTCCACGGAGAGAGTTTTACACGGATGGTAACTGGCCTGTTAAAGTGTGGGCCCACGCTTTTACTCATCAAGGACACAAAGGGACATGTATTTGGAGGTTTTGCATCACAGGACTGGGAGATCAAGCCTCAATTTCAGGGTAAGAAAAGTGAAAAATTACTCAATCACACAATCTAAAAAGAGAAATTTGAAGCTGATGTATCACTTGTAAAATGTTTCTTTCTGCCTGGTTGGTCTTCATATGTATATATTTATTTTATGTTTTAGGTGACTCCAGATGCTTCCTGTTCACAGTCAGCCCCTGTCTCAGAGTCTATAATACAACAGGATATAATCAACATTTCATGTACCTTAACCAGAACCAGCAGACCATGCCCAACGGACTTGTAAGTGCTCTAACTGTAACTCTGCGGCAAACCAAAAATGGGAAATTATCTATTGTGGCACAATATGGTCATGTTTTTAATTTTTACCAAAATGTATTATATATCTTTTGTATTTGCTTCCACAACAACTGTAAATGTATTTAGTCGTGAAAAAGTATTATTTACATATCACCCAATATTACTCAAAAAGCAAAAGTAGATGCTTATTTTCCATGCCTTATTATGCCATACTTGGTAAAGAAATATTTCAATGCAATGTTTACTCATATTAAGTGCAAAAATATTTCTTTATTTGTTTACTTGTATTTATCATTGTTTGTGTTTGGACCAGGGTATGGGAGGGCAGCATAACTACTTCGGCCTGTGGCTGGACTCTGATTTTGGTCGTGGTCACAGTCGTGCAAAGCCTAAGTGCACGACATATGGCAGCCCACAGCTCTCTGCTGATGAAGACTTCACTGTGGACACAGTGGAGGTGTGGGCTGTGGGGAAACTCCCAGAGCCTGATGAGGTCTGTTCACTGTGTTCACAATGCACTTTTTGCTTTAAGTAGATTTTAAATATTGACTTCTATTGACAGGATGAAGAGGGACAAGGAAAGAAGAGTGTTCTTGATGCAGATCCAGAAGTTCAAGCCATCATGGAGATGACAGGGAAGACTCTGCACAGCCAGGGCCTCAGGGAGCCAGAGGACGACGAAGGTTAATGAACAGCATTTGTCTAAATGAGACTTCAAAATCTAAACTTTCTCCAGCGCAGTATTCTGTCCTGTGATGTAGAGCATCCAAAAGGATGCCCCTGTAGGATCCCCCTGAAAAGAGATGGATTCTCTTTAAATAAATAAATACATATTGGGTTTATCATGGTATTCCTCCAGCTGTATTTGAATTTAATATAGTTGCCTCTAATTAAGAAAATTTATATATTATCTAAATCAAATTACAAATCTGTCATGTAGTTGATCTTTTTGAATGTTTTAAAATTGTTTAATTTGTTAGAACTCTTGTATGGTAGATGTTTTAATTTTAACTGACTGCAAAACAAATATTTTGTGTAAATTATATCTGTATGTTTGCGTGAGAGTTTGGATGAAAAGTGTGCTCATTTGTGTATTTGATGTCTTGGTCTGATGTTGGAAAGAGAAAAAATACTGACTGCTACAAACAGTCAAAGTGGCTCAAAGGCTTTTTTGTGTGCACCACCCTATCTCCTCTTTCATGCAAATGGTATGTACAGTAGCTCCACATGCAAAACAAGAGGAAGAAAATCCATATAGACATTCATTTGAACCCCTAAATGCAAACTACATGAAGTATCCTCGATTATTTAAAAATCATTACTTTCATTTCACATTTGATCACTTTTCCATTTTTCATTTGTCATTCAGGTCTTAGGGTCTTGATTTAGACAGCTGTATGGTAGAACTAAGAAATGTTTATGCAATTTAATAATAATATTAGCCATTTATACAGGTTAGCCTCTTGAAACTTAAAAGTACCTATATTACGTCATTTGTGCTCTATGTTATAATGTTGTTTCTTCATCACAAACATACCTGGAGTTGTGTTTTGTTTCATCCACACATGTTTAACACACAAACCCTGTTCCACCTTATAATGTCATGTGGTAATACAGGAAGTGCTCCATTGTGTTTTTAAACTCCATATACTTTCATTAATTTCATACCTGAAATTGCCAATCTCTATTAAACAAAGACTATAAGGTAGCTGTTAACTTGAATACTACCACTTCAAGACATCACAATTTGGAACAGAGCATTTTGTGCTTTGGAGACGAAGACAGACCAATAGGGTCACTTAAACCTGTGTTAATGAAACTATACAACTCCAAGTATGGTTCTGAGCGGGTCACATAATTCTAACATGGCTTAAAGCTCCCAAGACCTGCTGAGTGAATGCAAAACCAGCAACACTAAAACATGGTCTGATGGGATTGTGCGGTCAATGACAGGGCAGGCTTAAACATTTCAGCGTTTATTAGACGCCTTTATTAGACTGTTATATATTAAGCAGACACATCCCTCCCTTTTTGGTCTCACTTACTCCGTGCACTTTGCATTGATACCATAAATTTGCTTCCGGACTTTTTTTCACTTTTAACTTGTGGGCTATAATGCAAGTCAACTTTTACTTCCTTGTGTGCACAGATAGAGGAACTGGCCGTTTTGCGCCCGGGCCTTCTGCAACATCCTCTCCACTCTGCCCAGTTCGGCTTTAACTCGCTACTTTCAAGTTATGGAAGGACAGTAATAACTTTAAAAGCCGAGGGAGTCCAACCGTAGGATTTGGGGTAAGTTTTGCACGTTATATGTTGGCAGTAACAGTGCGTAAAGTGAGTACCCGATACGATGGAGAAATCCGCTCGCCCCATGTGGCCACTATGTTGCTGCGGCGTCTTGGACGCATCCGAAAAAATACCACCTGTTATTTTTGATGAATGTGTCCATCACGAGTGCAATTTCTAAATGCCACAGTAATATCAGTATTTTTGTTATATAATTTTTTATACCAGCGCTTATGTTTTTTAGTAGAATAGTTTTTAGCCAATCAAAGAGGTTACCAGCTCTCAATGACCTTTTACATTTTTTCTGGTCTTTCAGCTAAGTAGCCTAGATGACTGAACAGTAGATATATTTAATGTTTTATAGGCTGGTTCTCAATCCATAAACCTCCAGTCATGTTTTTAAATGGCAAATACTTACTATTAGTTAATTTTACAGCTCTTAGCCTTCCTCATTTTCATAGGTCCACTCTTATCATGGACATAGGTCTTTTGTCTGTGATCCTGAACTGAGTCCTATAGGGAAATTATGTTTCATGATACATACATCTTGTAAATTTATAATTAAATATTTTTTCAGTTATAGGTTATATAGATATACATATGAACCACAGTGCACACAAATAATAAGTTTTCATGTTTGAACAGTTTACGTTTCATGAGGGTATGGCATTGTTTCATTTGTATGCCTATAACAACACAACTATTTTACTCCTCAAAAGCAACACCATCAGTTTTATCAGGTTATATTCTCACATAATAGCACCAAGAACTAATCCCTGTAATTCCAGAGTCCCCGTTCTGTAAGAGGAAACACCCAGTCCCACTGCTTAATTCACACAGAGTAAGTGACTGAAAGTGTGCTTTAGAATTACCATCTATATTATGTTGTACATTTATATATTAAGGGGGTCAGGAAATCTAACTACTCCTAATGTGCATTGTAATATATGATGCACAAACAGTTCAAACAAATAGCATGGAATGTACAATACAACAATTATTAACAGTATTATTTTGAATTTACATGAAAAAAGGTTCCTTTCTGGACTGGAAAGTACCTGCCCTGGAGCAGGAGCTGAAAAATACCCAATGGGTGGCCCAGTCCCTAGATCTCACTCTGTGTAAAAGCATCTCCAGAGGGGGTCTGTACTAAAAAAGTGCCAGGAACTGCAAAAAGTGTCCTATTGGAAATTTCCTGTGTGTTTTTCAGAAACTGGTTTGAAACCAAATGGTACAGTATCTTCCCATAAGTAAATGTTTATCAGATTGGCCAAGGAAATGTGATAAAAGTTAATAATTTATCTTGTAACTTGGTGATTAAAGTTCAGAGGAATTCTTTGGCTAATTTGTATGGGACCTCACTTTGCATTTTATGACACAAAGCTTCCTCAGGTTGTGTCCTCTGGCAGATCTATTTCCCTCCTCACGTTTACATAAAACAGTTTAGCATTTGCAAGTAAAATATTCCATGTTTTGAACAAACTGCTTGTAAGTTTCAGGGGACCTTTTTGGCCGGTTTGGTTTGACATAAAGTAAATGTATTATAGACAGGAACAAATGTGTGTATGGAGGTGTTACTGTTACTTTTCTCCAGTTGCTGTTTAGAATGAATAAACAGACTAATAATGACACAAAACACAACTCCGGGTATGTTTTGGTTGAGGTAACAGCATTCCAACATGACTAAAAGCTTAAAAAGGAGTCAATTTTGCATAGGACCTTTAACCTTATAAGGTGTATTGTTATGCTCTCTTTATTTATTTAGACAATTGAAATAATAATAATTTGATATGGAAAGAAATAATAACAAAATCAATAACTGATTGTTTACATTGCTGCCTTGCCTTGTAAACTTATTTATATAAACTCTCTGTAGTAGCCTGTTAAAATGAAGAATGAAGCGTGAGAACAGATGATCAGGAAGTGTTTTGCCTTGTTGCTCGCAGATATTCACTTCAGGTAGAAGGACAGGGGATTGCTTTACCAAAACTAAGCTGACTACTGCACATCAAACTGTATTTTAACAGAATTAAACTACAGCACTGGCATGTAAAAGTTCAAAAAAGAACTGCAGCATTTTTAGACTTAGACTTAGACAGACTTTATTGATCCACAAGGGAAATTACTTGGACACACTGTCTCACACATCACATTATATTACAGTAACAAAGAAAAAGTAGCAAGAGACTGCTATCATATAAGGCATAATTATATAAATGAATGTACAAGTAAGTAAAAACAAATATTGTGTTAAAAAATACAGTATATCACAGTTTTATATATAAGCGGTTGTAAGGAAAACAGTGCAAAGATGATGATGATTTTGGTCAATAGTGTGTATGGATTGGATGGACTGGATGAGGTTGGTGAGAATTTTTGAACAGATGTGTAATGTTGTATAGGCTACAGTGTTGCAATGGACAATTTAGATTCAGGACTACTTTAAGGACTTTAACAACAACAACTCACCGTTTTATATGTGTCTGTCATGTCTATCGCTATTTCATCTTTGCACTGTTTTCTCCTTATGACCTCTATATAGCTGAGATATATTTGTATTACTATATTTCTATATTTGTTTATTTTTGTTTGTACATATACATTTGTATAATTCTGCTTTATTTGACACCATTCTTTTGTTATTTTTGCTACTTATTTTGAATTTATGATTACCATTCATATGTTAGCTCTGTGTTCTTGTATTATATTCTGATGTGTGAGCTACTGTGTCCAAATAATTTCCCTTGTAGATCAGTAAAGTTAAGTCCAAGTTAAAGTAGGCTATTAAATAAAAGTAGGCTATTGTTATTGTTGTGTGTCATTTTTCCTTCTGCAAAAAGTAACTTAAAATACTGACCCAATATTTCACTTTACATTAAAGCAACAAGGGAGGATGCAATGCGGCAATGAATTAAATGAAACTAATTATAAATATTGCTAGTCACAGAACACATTTTAACTCCAGATACTTAACTACTCTGTGATCTCATTTTAAAGCTATAACATGCATAAGTTATAGTGTTGAGTTAGTTCTCTTTTTGATGTTGGGAAACCCCTTTATTACTGTAAGGGTCATCCCATTGAAGAGCTGCTCACAATCCACCACACACACAGAGGCTTGAGTGCCACTTCCCAATTTAGATGGGAGTAACTAACCCTATAGTACATTTTATGAGTGCACTAAAACTGTACAGAACTCCCTTTACCGCAGATGCCGTATATCACTATTGCATTAAAGAGTTTTTTTCTTATACATTTTTATCAATGTGTGTATATAGTGGTATTGATTTTTAAGTGTTCTGTGATTAGTAATATTTCTAATTAATTAAATTCATGCCACATTGCATCGTCTCATGCTGCTTTAACGTGAAGTGAAACATTGGGTCACTATTTTAAGTTGCATTTTACTGAAGGCTAAATGTGTGCACACCTCCCTCAAGGCACGTCATTTTCAGTGTTCTATTAATAATTAGTAATTATTTCTGAATTTCTTTGTGAAACAATAAAAACACAATGAACCTATTCATGGACACTCCTACTTAGGCATTTCTATTACTATACTCTATTACATCATTTATTCAATCTCTTTACTTAGTGGTGCGTTATTGTAGCCACAGTTGCCTTGTACCTTACTAAAAATACATGCCTACCACTTTTGCTTCTCAACCACTTCCAATAACTCATTTTTACTGGCCAGAGATGGTGTCAAACTGCCATTTCCCCATAGCCACTATCACCCCAAGCACCCATGTAGCTGATTTGAAGTGTTTATTTTCATGTTACTGTATATACTGTATATGACTCTTGTCTGTCCCAACAGCAGTAGCAGCAAACATGGCTTCCTGGGGGCTGCAGGGTGAAATGACGG